CTATTCTTCTCAAGATTTTGTTTTTGTGCAAAGTACAACAGTTTTTCTGGGTCATAATATTCATTTAAAAACAAAAAACCGTAAAATTTCAGCATGTCCACAACAATCAGCTAAGGGTATGAACTCTTTTAAAGATGTTCATGGCTCATTTGGATCTGCATAGCATGGATAATCTCTATTCAAAAGCAATTTATCAGTTAGAGTATTTCTCTGATGATTGATATCTGAATCAGAGATATCCATGGCGACGATGCCACCATAGCGGTAACGTTGCGGCAGCGGTAGATTCTTATCAGCGATGAATATCTGTGATACAGATAGGACTTAAGCACTTCTATCAATTCTTTTATTTCTTTATATTGATATGATTCTTTTTTATTAGTGATATTCGTAATGCAACAGTTGGTACATTATCACAACGTATAACAAATCAATTAATGGGTCTCAAAGGTTTAACAAAAAGTTTATATGATATTCGAGCATATCTGGATAAATTGTTGGCAAATAAATTACCACTTAATCATCAAATATTATCTCATATACAAGATATATTTAATTTATTACCGGATGTAACACAACAAGATTTAATAAAATCAATTTATGTTAAAACAAATGATGAAATGTTACTTGTTTATCTTTCATCATTAATACGTTCAATAATAGCATTACATAATTTAATTATGAATAAAATTCAAAATTCTGATGCTGAAAAAGCAGATAATATATCATCCAATACAACGACAAGTACAACAACTGCTGCAGCTGCTGTTGCTGCTGATAAGAAAACAGAAAAAGGAAGCGGTGATAAACCGACAACAAATGGCAACCCTAGTTAAAAAACAACACCTTTTCTCTTTTTTTTTATTATTGTTCTTTTATTTGAATAAACTCGAGCTCGAGAGAAAGACCAAAAAACAAGAACATATTACATAGTTGATTTTCATACATAGATAAGACTTCAAGGTAAAACATTTTATATTTCTAGACACATAAAAAATAATCAAAAAAACGACGATGAAATTGCGTGTTCTTACATTGAATGTTTGGGGTGTACATTATGTGGCGAAATTTATTGATAAACGTATTCAAGCATTAATAAATCATTTTATTAGTCCTGAAGGAGAATATGATATTATTGGATTACAAGAAGTAAGTCGAAATAAGAAATAGAAAATAATTTAACATTATAAACTTTTTTTTTTTATTATTTAAAATAGGTATGGAGTAAAAAAGATTATCTTTATATTCGTAATCAAATTAAAACTATTTATCCATACAGTTATTATTTTTTAAGTGGTCTTATTGGTTCAGGTTGTTGTATCTTTTCAAAACATCCAATTATTGGTGTTTATGAACATCAATATACTTTAAATGGTAAGGAAAATTTTCTCTTAAAAATTTACCATAAATCTTTTTACGAATTTAATACTTCATACGCAAAATTATTTTCAATGCTTCTTCGTTTTGCACTTTAATATTTAAAATACTGATAACTATTTTTTATTTGTTATACTTTAGACTTTACTCTTTCAACGTAAAAGATAGAAACAGATAAGTAAATAATCGACGTATTACCAAGATTTCTCCTAAAGAAGTGTTCGATATAGTGAATACAATCTTTTGTCTAGGGTTTTTTTTTCTTAATCCTTTTGCGACTGTTTTTTTTTCATATATGGTATGATAGCATTATTACTGTGATAAGATATGAAATTGTACTCAAAATGCAATGGGATAATAGAATCGAACGAGTTTTGTCCATTACAATGAAAGACAGATTTGAGATCGTGAAATTTTTGAAGCAAATACGTACGTTTATAATAGAAAACTTTCAACACACACTCATCGTCTATTAGATCGGATCGTCAGTAGAAACACCAGTGCGTATGACAACACGATAGTTTCTGTCAACGACCTACGAGTACAGAGAATTCAATGTTAGCTTATCCGTAGTGCCCCATTTTAAGACCTATCATTAGGAAGCTGCGGATGCGCGTTTTTGTGAACCCGTACCTGGACCTGATCGAGTCCAGGTCCGGTCCAAAGTCGAGAATTTTTCGATCAATACCTGACACCCTTCGTGTACATGAACAAGAAAAGGATCACGGTTTTAGCTATTTATTCTCTACTCTTAGAAAAAAAACTCAACATACAATTATATCCTGTTGCTGTATTTTTCATTTGGGGAGCAGCGGGTCCACAAAAAATAAAAGGTTGGATCCGAACACCCGGTCGGGTCCTGGTCTGAAAGGACCCACAGCTCCGTACCTATCATCTAGTAAAATACTTCTAATATAAATCATGTTACAAAAGAGTGAAGTCCGCTGTGTGGTAGGACTGTAGGTCATGCAAGCTTTTTGCAAACTCTAATAAGGACTAATTTTACATTAAATACGAACATTGTTTTTCCACTAAAAGTAACTCCGCCGCGAAATGTTTAAGCGAGTGCCTAAGCACCCGAGCATCCCCTCTAGTTCTGTCCTTAGTAATTGATAGTTATTGGGTAATGTAATAACTACCACGTTTACCAGAAAAATAGTACAGTATTATTTTCAATTTTTTTCTGTTGCTGTAAGCATTAAAAATAATACAAATTGTGATTCGAATTGAGAAAATAGTTTCCCACAAGAATATAACTAAATAAAAATTATTATCATATTTGCGAAGATAGGAAGTCCAGAGAAAAGTAAAATCCTAGTTTTTCAACACCCAGAATGCTTAAATATTTACATTTATTATGAAGAGATGAAGTTAAAAATAAAACTAAAATTGTATAATATTTCTAGGTTTCCCACATAAAATTCAACATGGTGATTATTTTGCTGGTAAATTAATTTGTCTATGTAAAATTTTAATAAATGGTCATGTAATAAATGTATATAATACACATTTACATGCTAATTATCATCATGTTATACCAAAAGATATTTATTTGGGACATCGTATATGTCAAGCATATGAATTAATTCAATTTATTGAAAGTACATCGTCAGCAGATACAACACATTTAACAATACTTTTAGGAGATTTAAATTTAACAACAAGTGATTTAGGTTTTCAACTTATCCGAGGCATTCTTCAATTAAATGATTCATTCCTTCACCGTATTAATAAAGTAAAATAAAATAGATAAATAAATTTAATGTAAAAAAAAAACATTTTTTTTTTTTCTTAGGATATATTTGATCCAACTCTTGGTAATAGTGGTTTAACATGTGATTTACTGGATAATCCATATATTGTTCCATATCAACTTCAAGGTGAAGGTGAACGTATTGATTATATCTTATATCGAGCACGAAATGGTTTGTTATGATTATTTTTTTTAAACTAATGCAAACATTTAATTGTTTTGTTTTTTGTTTTTTAAATTATAGATAATGTTAAATGTCTTGAAGCTTATCCAACATTACATAAAGTTCCAAATGATCCCGATGGACTTTATTATTCTGATCATGCAGCTATTTATGCTTTATTTGAAATTGATGAAAAAGCTCCAGAAAAAAAAATAACACCACTTGAAGATGTTGAAATAACTGATGAAGAAACACGTGAAAAACTTCGTTCAGCTTGTATTATTGTTGAAGAATCAATTCAACGTATACAACGTGAACGAATATTTTGTGCATTTGGTGTATTTATTCTTATTTTTATTTTATTTTCATTTAATGGAAATCCATTATCAAATACTTATTTATATACAATATTTACAATTTTTAAAAATCTTATTTGTATTATTGGTATTGCAATATGTATTTGGTTTATCTGTTTAGGTAAACCTGTTGAACGAAATGCTTTAAGTTCAATACAAAATGCAATGCGTTTGCGTTTACGAGTGGCACATTTTTCATATTAATCATTTCTTTTTTTCTTTTGGCTTAGGTCATATATATTTAATTAATAAATAAATGCAATGTGTCCATAGTTACAGTGAATATGATTATTAATTGATTTATAAGCAAATGTTGAATAATTTTCGCCATGTTTTTTTTTCTAAGTTTCATATAGTGACTTTCATATAGGTAAAAAAGTATTTCGGACTAATCTATGTAGTTGTGATTATTCTTCAATAGCAAAATGTTATCAAACGTTGGAAATGAGTATAGCCATGCAAATATTTTTATAACTGTGTTTTAGTCTTGGTTTCACTAATGTATTCTTTGTTCGATTGCATTATAATCACTTGAAAGTATTATTTACCTATTTTAAATATCTGAATCGATAATAAATTCAGGAAATTTATATGGATATCTTCGAAACATTTTCATGAAATTTATCAACTGATTAGTTATTGACACAATGATAATAAAAAATGCATGTTCTATATCTTTGTGTTTTTTTCACCTCAAACTTTAATTATCAGTCATGATGAATTGTAAAAACATAGAATCGATTTTTGTTTTACAATCAAAATAAAAATAAAAATCTAATATTAATCATTTAACTGTAGTTTTTATCAAATTAATAAATGTTAAGTTACAAAGATTTAGTGAATCATTTTTTTTCTCGAACATCAATCATCACTATATGTATTTAAGAATCAGAGAAAGAGAGAGAGAGAAACGATAAACGAAAGAACAACATGTAGTAAAGGTATAATTCAATAGAAGAATATCGTTCTCGTCTATTTTAAATATTTAATGTTTTAACCTTGTACAATAAAAATAACATAAAGATGCCTGTAACAAGTTATCAATCAATGAATGACACAAATTCAGGTAAGAGTCATAATGATTAAAATTCGATGAGAACTGGCCATAATTATTCAAGAATATCAATGAATTATTTCATGCGTAAATATTCTCCTCCATTCTTCTTTCCATATAGTCCTCTTTTTTGGGTAGACACAACGTTATTTTTTTTGTATTCTGTGAGAACGAATGGAATACGATCGTGTTCTCTATTCTTATGTAAAAATGACAGAAACAAGAAAATATATAGATAATAATCCTTTAGTCTTTTTTTCCGTATAATTTACATTTCTTTCATTTCTCTCAATTATCATGAATTGTTTTAAAAAACAAGAAAACGGTAATTTCAATTAGCGTTTCTTTTTGTTTCTCGATGAAAATTTAACATTTTGTTTTCTCTACTGTATAGATCTACAATTTAAACCTAAACAACGTCGTGTACTCAAACGTTTATTTCGATATAGTCGACCAGATTGGCCATTGATTACATTAGGAACAATAGTTTTATTAGGAGCTGCTATATGCAAGTACTATCTTATTTAATTTCTCAAGAATCGTATTTTTCTTGATTATTTTTAGCTGAAATTTTTGTACCATTATATACCGGTAGACTTTTATCGAGTGTTGCGTTTAAAGATACATGGAAACAATTTAAACATAATTTAATTATGTTTGTTATTGTTAATTTTGCTGGGTATGAATAATTAAATAAAAAAAAACGTTAAAAAAAAATTGTTTTTTTTTCAGAGGATTTCTTGGTGGATTTCGTATTGGAATATTTGCAATATGTGTATCACGTCTTAATATTCGTCTTCGAATAAAATTATTTCAATCATATTTACGACAAGAAATTGGTTTTTTTGATACACATGAAAGTGGTAAACTACTTTCACGTCTTAATCATGATACACAAATAATGAGTTCAACTGTAGCTAATAATACTGCTCAATGTATCGGCGCATTTGTTAAATTTGGTAAGTTTAGCAAAAAAAACAAAAAACTTGTTTGTCCTAATGCATAAAATTTATATCTCTGACTATAGTTTTATTTTTTAATGAAACATTACTTTTTTTTCGGATTTTTAATTATTCGTATTTTTATAGTTGGTACATTTATAATGATGATTAAATTGAGTTTACATTTAACAATTGCTTGTCTTATTGGTGCACCACTTATATTAATTGTTGCTAAAATAAGTGGTAATGCACATCGACGTATATCAGAAAAAGTTCAAGATCTATCAGCTGATGCATCCGAAATAGCTGAGGAAACAATTCAAACAATACGAACAGTTAGAAGTTTTGGAAATGAAGATGGTGAATTAAAACGATTTGCTGATATTCTTCAACAAGCATATAAAGCATCACTTATACAAGCTGCATTATCAGCTGGACAAAAATGGTTTGTTGAAGTAAGTATGAACGAATTAAGACAGAATATTTTGTTTTTCTATTATTATCATGAAATCTATTAGTTTATTAAAAGCAGATAGTTTCTTTGTTTGCTATTGTTTGGAAGCATTTTCATTATTAGTAGTACACTAACAGTTGACCTCCCGACGTTCATATGGAGTTTCGACTATTAATTTTTAGCTCTTTTTTTTTAAATAAATGTTTTTTATATGATAATTTTTCATGTTCATAATCCATTGAAGCTCAAATTTCAGGAGGTCTACTGTTGTGTTGCCCAAAAATTTAGTGCTCGGTAATTATTATATTTGCTTAATAAATTAATAATTTGTTAAATGTTAAAATTAAAGTGTTAGTAATTAATTCAGCTTGTTAATTTAAAAATTCATTTATTCATTAAATAAATAGTACTAAGATGATGATACCATCAGTATTGATATAGTTCAAGTATTTTTTCTTTTCATCATGCTTTCTTCTAAGTGTCGTTGTTTTTTTTTCCATAGTTCGTTCAGATATAGATAGTTGTTGTATGGAAAATAAAAGACATAGGTTAGTATTGATCTGTTAGGTCTAGGATCCTCGATTACGATAATTTTTCTTCTACTCTCCCACAAATTGTTCAACTTTCTGTTCATTTTTTACAGCTTCATGGTAACCTTGGACAGAAACAGGGTTTTGAAACACCATTTGCCTTTTTCTGGCAGAATATGAAGTAAAAATAATCAGGCAATGTCATTTCGAAATGAATAGGATTGAGACAGGTTCCAATAGAAGGAAAGGTTGATGACAGGTCGTCTGTTATGAGAGAAGTGGGATCACAGTAGACTTCATTCGTCGGTCACTACTTCGAGAATGAAAGCACTTTGCCAAATTTTTAATCGTTTCCATCCCTAAAAACTATCAACAATCCTAGTTCATTGAATCATCAATTAACAATAATATATCTAATTTTGTTTAAAGATGGCAACAGCGATGAAAGATATGGACAGACCATAAAAAGCATTACTAATGCAATTAACTTGTGTTAATTGTAATTATACTAGTTTTACTGATATAAACTAACAAAACAAAACTGAACGAAAATAAATTAAATATTGAACTTTTCAAACTATTTAATATACTAAAACTAATTTCTTACTGAAGAAAGAACCTCTTGAGCTGTTTCCTTGTGACTGTGTAACAAAAAAAGCATGTTGAACAATTAAATACAAGTTATTAATCATCTTTGTTTTATTTAATAGTTAGCGCAACTCGGTATGAGTGTTGTTATGCTTTATTATGGTGCCGAACTTGTACGTGACAATCGAGTTGCTGGACCAGATTTATTAGCATTTGTTATATATCAATTAACACTTGGAGCAATTTTAAGTGTAAATAAATATATATTTGATTTTTGAAGAAAATGATTTATTTACATTAAAGGATATATCTCAAATATATACAGCACTTATGACAGCAGCTGGTGCCAGTCAATCTGTATTTGATTATCTTGATCGTAAACCAATGCAACGACCAAATGGTACACTACAACCAAATGAATTTCGAGGTGAAATTGAATTTAATAATGTAGCACTTGTTTATCCAGCAAGACCAGATGAAATTGCTCTTCATGTAGATATTGATTGATTTTATTTTAACTTATTAATTCAATTCGTTTTATAGAGTATAACATTTAAAATTGAACCAGGTCAAACATGTGCTTTTGTTGGACCATCTGGTTCTGGTAAAATAAAATAAAAAACAAATAATTATTTGTATTGAATTTTGTTGTTTTTTCATTAGGAAAATCTTCATGTATTAATTTACTTGAACGTTTTTATGATCCAAGTAGTGGTACAATATTAATTGATGGTCGAGAAATTCATGATTATGATCATAAATATCTTCATAGAAAAATAGCTATGGTTGGACAAGAACCTATTTTATTTAATCGAAGTATTAAAGAAAATATAACATATGCAATAAATGATGATGAAAATAATAATAAAGATGATGCAACAGTAATTTATGCAGCTCAAGAAGCAAATGCACATGGATTTGTTACTGATCTTGTTAATGGATATAATACTAAATGCGGTCAACGTGGTGGTCATTTATCTGGTAAGAATTTATTTATAAATAATTTTTGTTTTTAAGATTTTTTTTTTTTTGTCCAATTAAATAAGGTGGTCAAAAACAACGAATATCTATTGCTCGAGCTATTATTCGAAAACCAACAATACTTCTATTAGATGAAGCAACATCAGCTTTAGATCCTGTTAATGAACGTTTGGTAAAATTTTCAAATAAATTGATCATTCTCTTTAATATATATAGATTTCTTTTTTCTAAATAGATTCAAGATGCATTATTTTATAACAAAGACAAACAAGAACAAAGAACTGTTCTTATATCAGCACATCGATTAAGTACAATAGAACGATGTGATAAAATATTTGTTATACATAAAGGTAATTTAACTGAACAAGGTACACATGAAGAATTAATGGAAAATGATAATGGAATTTATCGAGAACTTGTTCGACGACAAAAAATGGATATAGATAGTTAATAAAATAAACAGATTTTATTTTATTTTTTTTGTTTAATCAGGCGTATATATGTTGTGCAATAGAAAAAAGAACCAGAATAAAACTAGCCATGAAAAACAATAATATTTTCATGAGAAACAAAAAAAACTTTATTTTATCATTATAAGATTCAAGGGTTGAGTGTGCGTTTTCAGAGGTCAAGATAAAACCTACCTCCACACTCGTATCTCAATATCCTGAACTCTGAGAATACATGGGTATTCATTCCGTTACACCGAATTCACGCAAAGTCATTAGCGATATTCGGTATCATGAATTCATTAGGTGAATATCCTAATAACTGTGTTTAGAATTTATGACAATGAATGAAGAAAAGCTTTATTTGAGGATTTGATCTTTGCAGTTCTGAGCCGCTAAAAAATTTTTTTATCAATAAACTATATTCAGTTAGTAGAAGAATCAAGCCTGGAACACAATCACCATTTATTGCCGTGCACACTAGCTGCTTCAACCATATATTAGTTCGAAAAGGATGTGTTTCTGTAACTGCCTCATAAAAGTCAAACTAGTCACAGATACTAAATGTGTCAGTCAAATATGTACAGATGGGAAAGAAACAAGGAGAGAGAGGCAATGAAAATATAGAGTAAGAAATAGACTTTCTTTATGTATTTCTCTACGATAGAAGAAATTCCTGTGGAAAAGTTAAATCGATTGATTTTACATCAAACTTCAATTGTGTTATCGCCGCTTTGTCTCTGTTGTGTTATGTTTTTTTTAAAGATACAAATGTCAACTATTGTTCAAAATACGCAAACTTCTGTTCGACGACTCTATGCTTTATTATATGAATTTGAGATTTTATCTAAAACAATATCAACTCGCAATCTTGGTGTAAATATCATCATGAGTGAACCGATGGGTGCCTATTTTCGCGATACAACTAAAGGTTGGATACTTGTTGATAGTGATATTGATAACTCCATATTAGCGAAAAAATATTTCGTTGATCGTGGTTGGACACCACTTTCAGTCGTACTTCCGATGCATCGTTTGAAATATCAATTATCACTCATTGGCATAGAACCAGAAATGATCAATTATATTATATTAATTCATACACATACTGATCATACAAAAAATTTAAACTATTTTCCAACTGCAAAAATCTATATTCAATGTCAAGAATATGAATATGCATTTCAATCACCAGAAAAATTAAGTTATGCAAGGTTTCGTGATGATTATGATAATCGACCTGAAACTGATTGGCTTTTAATCGATGGTGATACGAATATTTTATCTAGTTTGAATTCGATTTCGATACGTGGCCACACACTTGGTCATCAATCTGTTCTTGTTCTATTGCCAAGTGGAACAAGTATAATTATGACAGATGATGCTGGTGATTTACTAGAAAATTATGAGAAAGAAATCTTGCCTGGAGAATCTGTTGATGATACAGTTGCACTTAAATCAATTCGACGATTGAAACAATTAGCATCCTTATCTAATGCACATCTATTTCTTTGTCATTATCCAATTCTTATACAAACACTAAAGCTTACACCTGACTATTATGATTAATCAAAATATTAAAGACGAATTGTCATGATACTTGTATCTTATTTTTAGAAAAATACAATTATTCAACAATCAATGAAATGTACGAAGAACTATTTTCCGATACAATTTTTCTTCAGGGCTCAATGATATTTTGTCCAAGAATAGATTTTCAATGAAACAAGGAAAATTTTGACAAGATTAATGGAAAGATTATAGAGAATTCTCAACATTTCCCTATATTAATCAATTTCATCATTGAACTTTTAATTTTATCGGCCAGAATATATCATTCGTTTCAAAAGAGATTAAGGTTTCCGGCTTTGCAAATTAAACATAGAATATATGATGAAAAAGTTTCCGGTTTTCGAAATAAGATTCTCTGATTCTTTAGCGCTTAAAGTATTCATTTATAGTTTAAACGTTCAAGATTTTTGCCGATTCTAAGACAAGTGAATCTCCAATCTAATCTCGTCGTTTTCGTATCATTTTGATGACAACAGTACCTGTTGAATAGTTTCTTAATGACTGTGATGCTTGCATCCGAATCCAGTATGAATTGGAAAACAACTTCTACACAAACCTTTCGGTGGAACAGAATGCGGCAGATTATCATATGAAGCCTTACGGCTCAAATTCAAGTTGACATTTATCATTGTCTGCAATGGCCAAATAACTATACATTTCTGTGGAATGAAGGGGATGTAAGTCTTCTCTTCACCCACATTAGAGTTCATGGGTCCAAAATTTTTGAGGCCAACTCGGTAATTAATGAGATCTCGACGTTTTTAAATATTTTTACCTTTTCAAACTGCTAATTTCTGTAAAAACATAGGAGTTAAAATCGATTCGACTACGATTGAGAAATTTATTGTACTTGAGAACAAGTTACAGTAGTGGAAAACGATATTGTTTTATTACGAGAATTCGTTTTTTTAGTGAAAATTCATCTACAAATGATGAAGAACCATATGACGAAATAACTGAATACATGAAGAAGAAAATGAATTATGAAAATGGTAAACACGTATTATCGTCATGGAAAAAGTGTTCATGTATGTGTATCCACAATTATGACGTTTGGCACCAACACAGCGTCATCAGCAACAAGCAAATGTATACTTAGTGAAATTGGTCGGATTTTACAAGCAGAAAGATGCCAAGTGAATTTTGAATCACTTGATTTTTTCGTGAGACTTGAGATTATCTCTTTTTTGTTGCTGTTTATGCAAGAAACTAAATAGTATACTTTTTCATATAAAATAAAATTTTAAAAGCCATACTGTAGCTAGCGAAGTATCTATCGGATGTCTATTAGCCTCGGCTTGGGTTCCATTGCAAAAAGTCGCACCCATGCAGGACACTATCCAGAAGATACAATATACTTTTTTCCGGCTTTTTGATTGCGATGACTAGCGCACCCTACACATTTCTCAGATTACTGGAGCCCACCGAGCCCATCATTTTTAGACCCGAAGCGAATCTAGGTCTGGGACCAGCTCGACCGGCTCTAACTCACATACAATCTACTGATAAATACACACGATTTATTATGTTCTTTTTTGTAGTGAGGCTTCATACATATTAAACCTACTTGTGAATTCCAAAAATTTAACTATAAATATTTATTACAAATGGTCATTATATTTTCTGTTCGTCGTGACATCTTCAACTAGTATTAAACTTTTATTTTTTTACAGAAATAAATAACCAATAGAATGAGTTTTAAACAGAAAAAAGAATCATTCTCTTATTCATAGCAAGATGTTGTTATTGCATAACGATCATGTAATACGACAATAACAAAAAAGCAACTAAATAAATACCCTTGAAAAGCATCATAATTATTATACAAAAAAAATCTTTTTTACTGGAATATTTTATATTAACAATGTCCAAACGTACAGCAACAAAACGTAAAGCTGCTACAACAGCTGAACATGAAATCAAACGTGCTAAAGGTGAAACGAATCTTTTTAATTTAAAATGGTATGAACATGGTGAACCGTTATCCAAAGGTTTTGTTCCATTAGTTTATCTCTATGGTGATACATTACCTGGTTGTTCAAAAATTGCTTCATTTGATATGGATTCAACATTAATTAGTGTTAAATCTGGAGCTAAATTTGCTAAAAGTATTTAAAACGAAACAAAAAATTCTTTATAAAATACTTTATTTTTCTTTTTCGTCTTATAGATCATGCAGATTGGATATGGTGGCATGAAACAGTTCCAAAAAAACTTGCCGAACTTCATAAAGATGGTTATCGTTTAATAATATTTACAAATCAAGGTGGTATTGAAAAACATCATACAAAATTAGATGATATAAAACGTAAATGTGAAAAATTAATTGAAGAAACTAATGCACCTATTTATGTATTTATTGCAACTGGTGAAAATCATTTTCGAAAACCAGCTACATCAATGTATGATTTTTTTGTTGAAAATTGTAATCAAAATGTTGAAGTAAGTTATAGAAAATTTTAATTAGTTTCTTATATTTGAATGAAAATTTTTCTTTTAAAATAGATTGACAAGAAAAATAGTTTTTATTGTGGTGATGCTGCTGGTCGAATAAATAATTGGACAGCAGGAAAGAAAAAAGATTTTTCATGTGCTGATAGAAAATTTGCTCATAATATTGGTTTAAGTAAGTTTAAATTAAATGATTCTTTTTTTTTTTGGTCATATACGGGAGAAAATTTTAGCTTTTAAAACACCTGAAGAATGTTTTCTTGATGAAGCACCAACTACTAAATTCGAATGGGGTTCAATTAATCCAAGTGAATATATTAATAAATTATCCAATGGAAAAACAACAAATGAAACAAAAACTTATCATAAATCGGTAAATTTTATAAATAATAAAAAGTTTTTTTTTTTTGCTAATCTTAGTATTTTTCTAGACACAAGAAGTTGTTATTTTACAAGGACCACCTGCATCAGGTTTGTTTAAATAAAAATAAAAATCGTTTCTGTTCCCTATTATAAATCTTTTAGGAAAAAGTACATTTTCTCGTCGATATTTTCAACCTTATAATTATGAGATAATCAATCGTGATAAACTTCAAACACCTGCAAAATGTCTCAAAGTACGATGTTTATATTTATATAAATCTTTTATTTAATTTTTTTTTTTGTTTTATTTAGGCAGCAAAAGAAGCTTTAGATAGTGGTCAAAGTGTCGTTATCGATAATACAAATCCAGCTGCAGCTTCTCGATCAGAATATATTGCTCTAGCTGAATCACATAAAATTCCTTGTCGTTGTTTTGTTCTTAATACACCTATTGAATTATGTCATCATTTAAATTATGTTCGTGTTCATCAAACATCTGGTGAAGTTCGTCGAATACCTGGTATGTTACACAAACCAAAAAAAAATAATTCAAGAGAAAAATTTTCTTTTTTTTCTTATTATAGATGTTGGCTATAATGTGTATAAGAAAAATTAT